TTAACCATGTGTATTCTTTGCATATTCTTTCTCCCCTTGGCTCCCCACAGTACAGGGGATTGAGCCCAGAAACATTATCCCTCTGATCTACATCTCAGCCCTCTTTTTAATTGTGTTTCAAGACAAGGTCTTGTCAAATTGGCCGGTCTTGAACTTGGTGGCCTTCCTACCTTAGACTCTCCAGTAGCTGGGCTTAGGTATGTGGCACAGTACTCAGAAACAGTGTATATTATTTAATCTCCCCATCCCTTGTGAAATTGGTTATCATCATTGTCCCTATTTTACAGATTAAGACCCCAGCATAGAAGTGACTACACTCTAGTAAATTACAGAGATAACCAGTTCTTGGTATTCTTATGTTCAGATTTTCATGTTTGACCACTCTGGGCAACAAAGATGGTATAGTCTTGTATTGACATAAGGGAAAACTAAATTTTGTTCTTAAACCAGCCAAATGACTTTATAATGAACTGGGCTCATTTGGTTAAGGAAGTCTCTTAAATCAGGTTATTTGTTTGGTTTTACCTTAAAATACAGGGTTGTTTTTATGTCATTTACAACAGGTTTGATAGGCTGGGAATGTGGCTCAGTGGTAGAGTGCTTACCTTGCATATGAGGCCCAGCACCATAAAAAAAATTTCTAGATGAAATTATGTGCTTTTCAAACTAGTCTTAGATTCAGAGTAAAAGTTTTTATTTTGATCTGCATTTTATCCTGGATAGAATTATTTGTAGATAGTCTATTATTCACTTTAACCTTTTATACAATCTGGTTTGTATTTGGTTCCCTAAGTCATATTTTTTGCATATTTGGTATGTAGGCTTTTCCTTTATAGCCTTTTTATATTTTACTTCCCAGTGTTAATCTTCATAACCATTTTTTATAATCTCACATAGAACCAGTCTCTTTGGGGTAGATAGTTGAAAATAAGTATTTTCCTGAGAGATCACCTCATGCCCATGCCCTAATCTTTAGTAAGAAAGAGTATTTTCACCGCATGAAGTATCTTCAAGACTAGCAAGCCCAGGAGGAAGAAAATGTATAAGGCCTTTGCCACTTTCCTTGGTTGAATGCCCTGTAGTATTAATGGACTTGCCCAGTATGGGGTAGCCTATGAATGGGCAGATTGTTTATATTATTTTCAGCCCTTTTCTGTATTATAAGCCAGGGGGTGGTGGCAAATGACTATAATTCCAGGGACTAGGAGGCTGAGGCAGGGGATTGCAAGTTTAAGGCCAGTCTCAGCAACTTAGTGAGACTCTTTCTCAAAGAATAAAATTTCAAAAAGGTCTGGAGGGCTGGGGTTGTGACTCAGAAGTAGAGCACTTGCCTAGCACATGCAAGGCCCTAGGTTCGATCTTCAGCACCAGATAGATAGATAGATGTTTTAAAAAAAAAAAAGGTCTGGAGATGTAGCTCAATTGTAAGGCACCCCTGGGTTCAATTCCTAGTACCAAAAAATAAAATAAAAATCCGTATGATATTTGTTTTTTTTTTTTTTTTAAAGAATTTGTTAGCCTTTATTCCTCTTTTTTATTTTATAACTTTATTTTATTTATTCATATGTGGTGCTGAGGAGCGAACCCAGGGCCTTGCACATGTGAGACGAGCACTCTACCGCTGAGCCATAACCCCAGCCCCCCCGTATGATATTTGAAAGATGATTCTAAAATATGTAATATTAGACCACCATTACTGTTAGGAAGTTAGAGAAGGAATACTTAGATTAATCTGTCATTAAACTTAAAGCAGAGGGTTTTTTTGTTTTGTTTGGTTTGGGTTTTGTTTGTTTTTGGTACCAGGAATTGAACCCAGGGGCACTTCTCCACTGAGCTACATCCTCGGCCCTTTTTATTTTTTATTTTAAGATAGGGTCTCGGGGCTGGAGTTGTGTCTGAGTGGTAGAGCGCGCACCTTGCACGTATGAGGTACTGGGTTCAATCCTCAGCACCACATAAAAATAAGTAAAGGTATCTTATTTACCTTTATCTACAACTAAAAAAAATATTTTTTTTTTTTTTCTTTTTTAACAAAGGGGTCTCACTAGTTTAGGGCCTTGCTAAGTTGCTGAGGCTGGCTTAGAACTGGCAATTCTCCTGTCTCAGTCTCCTGAGTTGTTCAGCAAAGTGTTATATCTTTTTTAGTTAAGGAGAAAGAAGTTCCACCCATATTTAATTCTTTAAAACCTGATACATGTAACATTACAATTCAGAATTGAAAGGGATCTTAGGGATCAGCTAGTCAAAAAGTTAAAAACTACCAGCCCAAAGTCCAAATTTTCATGCCTCAAATAGATTTTTTTTGTTACAACATTCACAATATTTTTTGAGTTTAGATGACTCTACCTGTATAAGTATTTTCTATTATTTGACCACAGTCCACACCAATTCATAATACACCTTGCTGCTTCAGTCATGTTCTTGCCTTCCTGACAAGAAGAATGTATCTGAATGTTCAGTATTCTCCCCTTCTCTCATTCACTCATTTTACAAAGTTAACAGACAACTGAGAATTAAGTTATTTACCTCAAAACATACAACTTTTTAAGTAGAGCCATGCCTCTTAAATCCCAAGATAGTGTTGCTTTCTACAGCCTAATGTTACCTTTTAGGAAACAATACAGTATAGTATATAATCAAGTCTTAAGATATTTGGTATAGCCTGTCAGAAAGAGGAATAATCACTGTGAGTTAGATACTAATGAAAGAATACTTCAGAGACATCCTTATCACAGCCTCCTGAGAACTATATCCTCAGTGTATGCTAATCAGGAAGACTTTATTCTGATCTGTGATTGTTCTTACTATATAGGGGGAAGAAAGACATGAATATACTCCTATAAAAGCTGATAAAGGAAATCAGTGAATAGCATTTTGTACATACAGAAAAACAGTACCTCATAAGGCCACCTACATCTAGATTCCTCCAAAAATACCATTTATACTTCTATTAGCAGAGGAAGAAGGGTCATTAAACCCAGGAGCTCTCCAGTGGATTCTGGATAAATCTTCAACTCCCAAATCCAAATGTAACTTCAGCCACAAATTAATTGACATGCTACCAAAGATGATTAATAAATGCCTAGTAGAACAAAGTCTAGTGATAGAATCTTTTGGTAAAAACAGGATGTTAATATTAATCCATTGACAGGAAGTCTTGGGTACTTAGCTTCAGGTAGTTCTTTTACCTTATCTGAAGTCCTTAATAACAACCCAGTTCATCCACTCCTATACCGTTCATCTTCTTTAACTTGCCTTGTTTGATTGGTGTTTTTGTTTGTTTTTTTTTCCCATTCTTTATACTGCTAATCACATCTTGACATATTTTATATTAGCTTTGTTTTTCTTCCTTTAGATAGTAAATTCTGAGGACAAACTCTTGTTCACTGCTTTGCTTTAGTCCCATTGTCTAGAACAGTGTCAGGCATATAGTAAGCACACTTGCATATATTTGTTGATGTAGAATATTGAATGGTAAATTATAGTAGTCTTGATGGAAGCTGTCATTTCCTAGATTTTCTTTTCCAATCCATAGATTGTAGTACAGCTTTAGTAAATTGATTGAACTACAGCTTTAGTAAATGTTCACACCAACTAGTTAATCGAGAATTTTGGTTGGTTTTTTTGTTTGTTTGTTTGTTTGTTTGTTTTAACATGTAAGCCTTTTATTAGGATTTTTAATTTGCTTGATTATTTTTAGAATTATTCTTGTTCATAATTTAGATCAATAATTTGGATCTACAGTTGGGTCTTATTAATGAAGAATGTTAATAGGTAATACAGAATGGTAGGTAAATAATTGAATCAGTTATTTGCTTTTTGGTATGACTTTAATAACAGTGGAATATATTTAGAGTAAAGCCATTTCTCAACTTTTTTGTTTGACTTATAAATATCCAAGATTTTCTGCTACATCAGAATCATTATGACATTCATTATTTTGTCTTCTTGTGAAAATACCACAAGTATTTCATGAAATAATATCTTAGATAAATTTATTGAACTTAGTGTAAAATAGGATTATGTCTTTTTGCCACTTTTCATTTTAAGCAGTTATGAAAAAACCACTGAAAACTGACTCTGGAAGTAGCTGTAGGAGGTTTTGTTTTTATGTTTTTGCTGTGGTTTGCTCTAGGACTAGAACTAAACAACTTCTTAAATTGATAAAAAGAATGTGAGCAAAGCTAGTCTATAAGTAAGTGGGGAAAATATAGAAATAATAAATAAACAACTTTTAAATGAATGAATCACGTGGCCTATAATCTCAGTGGCTCGGGAAGCTGAGGCAGGTGAATTGCCGGTTCAGAGCCAACCTCAGCAACTTAACAAGGCCCTAAGTAACTCAGTGAGACCTTGTCTCAAAAAAAAAAGGGGGGGTGGGGGTAGGAATGTGGCTCAGTGGTTAGGTGGCCCTGGGTTCAATCCCCAGTACCAAAAGTAATGATGATAGTGATAATGACCTCTTTTTAATGTGGGGGATCAAACCCTGGACCTCACACACGATGCATGTGCTCTACTATTAAGCTATACCCCAAGCACTAAAATAATTTTTTCAGACATTATAAACATTTATACATTTGGAAAATTAGATTAAAAATGTTGAAATTTAACAATAGTGAAACTTTGTTTTGATAGTTTTCTTTAAAAATTTAACTCATTTACCTCATCTATAATCTGGAACAAACAAGGTAAACGATACTTCACATTTATAATTATAGAAGCTGTCTTTTTTACTGATGAAGGAATGTGTCTTTTAGTGGAATTAGTGGTAACACTCCTAATATGCGCCATTCTTTCCTGTTTAACCAACCAGAGAAAGGAGGATCTTAGTCCTTTCTTAGTTAACATAATTAGTTCATAGATTAAAGCTTAGTATAAATATATATTATTGACAGATTAATTCATGTTAAGGCATGTTATTAATTAGCACATCTTAAGTTTATAAGTTTACTTTTAGTTTTTCTGCAGACACAACATCTTTGTTTTTTTTTTGTATGTAGTGCTGAGGATCAAACCCGGGCCGCATGCATGCCAGGCGAGCGCGCTACCGCTTGAGCCACATCCCCAGCCGTATAGGTTTACTTTGTAAATACATCCAGCTTTTACAAATAATTATTGTTTATAAGGAGAAACATAAAGACAGCCTAGGTAAGCCAACAAAATCCTGCCACATATATTGGAAGTTCAAATTAGAACATTTTACAGTCAACAAAATAGCAACATAATTTTTGAACTTTTATGATGGTGTTGACTTTAACTTCTCGAAGGTTGTTAATTCTAAAACTTTTTTCAGATATTTTTTAGTTGTCAATGGATCTTTTATTTAATTTTATTTATTTATTTATATGCGGTGCTGAGTATTGAACCCAGGACCTCCACATACCAGGCAAGTGCTCTACTTCTGAGCCACAACTCCAGCCCAGACTACAGAAAATTTTTGCCAAGTAATACCTCCTAATAGAATTCTGTTAATAATTTCTAATATTTAGGTATCCTAATTTTTCTACATCCTTTTTCTTCAGACCTTTATTTTCTGCTAGTGTACAAGTAGATAAAAATTAACAGGTGTCTCAGAAACAGTTGTTTACTTGTGGCAGGCTAGTTAAAGTACTTAGAATTCAGGTTCTCTTAGAATCGAAGTTGTCACCCTGTTTTGTCTTTTCTTTCCAGGTAAAATTTTCAGCTTGCTAATTGAATTAATAAGGTAAATATTGCTTGGATGTAAGAGAGAAACATGTTGAAAATGTCAGTATTTATGTTGCTTATGGAGTACTTTTCTATAAAGCACTTAAAATAGGTTTAATTTTATAATTTTCAGTAATTAAATATTCCTTAGCCTTTTAGGGAAGAAGTGTACTAGTAATTAAGGTTTTATTTTAAAAAGGGGGGCTTAAAGGAAATCTAATTGATTCTTTTTTTTAATATTAGTTGTAGATGGACACAATATTTTATTTACTTATTTTTATGTGGTGCTGAGGATCAAACCCAGTGCCTCACGCATGCAAGGCAAGAGCTCTATCACTGAGCTACAACCCCAGCCTTCTAATTGATTCTTTAACACTTATCTGTTTCTTTAAACTCCTATCATCACCATCAGTATATCACTTATCTGAAAAATACTTTTCTCTGCCAGCATCCGTATTTTTTAATTATTCCTTGAGAGTTGAACAGTTAAACTTGGTATCTTGAGATTATGGTTTGGTTTGATCTTTTTTTAGGTGTAGATGGACACAACACAATGCCTTTATTTTTATGTGGTGCTGAGGATTGAACCCAGGTCCCACCTGTGCAAGGCGAGCGCTGTACCACTGAGCCACAATCCCAGCCCCTTATTTACTTATTTTTTTATATGGTGCCAAGGATCGAACCCAGTGCCTCACGTGCTGGGTAAGTGCTCTACCACTAAGCCACAACCTCAGACTTCTTTTTTATTTTGTGACAGGTTCTCACTAAGTTACTCATGCTAACCTTAAACGTGATATCCTCCTACCTCAGTCTCCCGAGTGGGTGAAATTACAGTTGTGTGCTACCACTCCCAGCTGCTTGTTTGTTTAATATTATTGTTGTTTTTGTAGTGCCGAGGATCAAATCCAGAGAATTTTGCAAGCAAGACAAACACTCTTAGCTGGTATTTTTCAGGTTTCAAATGGCCACTTTTAAAAAATGCCCATGGCAACACTTAAATTATAATAACATGGGGGTAATTATAAGAGAACTCTGTAACTCCTCTTCTACCTTCAGTTTTGTGTAAATTTTCATTTGTATTTTATACAGTTTTTGTTTATTAATAATGAACTATTGGAAAAACATAAGCAAACAGAAAAGAAAAATAGTCATCCCACCACTAGTATGTTTTTAAAATTTCAGGGAATTTGAAGTTTATTTTATGGTAATCACCTTTTGTGGGAGAGGTATGTTCCAAAGGTAGTACTGAATTTTTTTTTAATTATATATAACTATAACCCAATGCTTTCTCATACTACACGTTGCTGTCAGTTGAAACACATTTTCTGGTCACGTCTTCCAGCTACAAATTTATTGTGTTTTCTAAGCACCTATCACTCATTGGCCATAACTTTTTTGATTTGAACTGCAGAGCAAAACTAGCACAAATTTCTTTTTTCTTCAGTTTTGTGGCTAGAAGGTTCATTTTCACCATAGATCATAGCAACCTCAGCATACATTTTTTCCCCCTTGTTAAGTTCAGGATTTTCATCTAAATTTAAAGAAAGCACTTTGCAGCTTATCTTTGGCATATTAGCCGCCAGTATCATACTCTTGGCATTTTGGGGCCATTTTTAAGTAAAATATGGGTTATTTGAACGTAAACACTGAAAGATCATAAGAGTTGAGCTGATAACAAAGATGGCCACTAAGTGGCTACCAAGATAGGTAGCATATGCAGTGTATCTATGCTGGACCAAAGGATGATTGACATCTAGAGTGGGATAAAGTGGGACAGCAGATTTCATAACGCTACTTGTAATAGTTAGCAATTTAAGACTTAATTAATTGTTTTTTTCTAGAATTTTCTAATAAGTATTTTTGGACTGCAGATATTTTGCAAAGCAAAGCCACAAATAATGGCAGAACCACACTACAATACAATCTCAAAGTTTTCTCAGTATCCTTGAAGTAATAATACTGGGCATCAAAATTAGTCTGCATAGAGTTTACCTAAAATAGTTTTAGCCTGTGCATTGCAGCTCTTTGCTCATCAAGGGAAAACTTTCTACATCAAATAAAACCATAATTATAGAAGCTATCTTTTTTGCCCTCATTTACATTCTTAAATGTTTTCTTGAGCTAGCAGATAAAAGGATAGAGCAGTGATTCCAACTGAGGGCACATCCCTTCTGCTTCATTCTATTGAATGTCAGTTCAGACCATTGCTATTTATCACTACAACATTTCTAAAAGTTACCTTTCGTTGACTTACCATGTGCAAAGTATCATGCCTGTGACTATTATGAAATTACATTTCTTCTTTACTTTATTGAGCACATGTTATATTCTAGGCGCTAGGTTTGGAGGATATATCAACATAAGTAAAACAGACCAAAATCTTTGTCTTCATGGAGTTTGTTTTATTGGATTTTTTTTTTTTTTTTTTTGGTTATGGGGGATACTCGGGATTTAATCCAGGAGTTACATACCCTAGTCGTTTTTATTTTGAGACAGGGTTTCACTAAGTTGCTGAAGCTGGCCTCAAACTTGTGATCCCCTGTCTCAGCCTTCCTAGTTGCTGGGATTACAGGTGTGCGCCACCACATCCAACTAGTTTACCATTTTTTTTGCAATCCCATTTTTACAATCTTAACATGTAGGTAGTACTAAATCCATTTTACCTAAGGAAAATGAGGCTCTGAAAGGTTTCATGACTTCCCAAGATTATACAAAACTAGGTTCAAAACTCAGGTGTCAGGGGCTGGGCGTGTGGCTTAAGTGGTAGTACTCTTCGCCTAGCATGTGTGAGGCACTGGGTTCGATTCTCAGCACCACATAAATGTAAAATAAAGATGGTGTGTCCACCTGAAAAAATAAATATTAAAAAAAAAAAAACTCAAGTGTCATAGCTATGCTATGTTGTCAAAATTGTCCCCCATTGAGGCTCTATGAAAGAGAATGGTTAATTTCAATATCTCAGATAGTAGTTATCACAAATCCCATTGAAAATTTTTATGTAACTTTCCTTGTCTTAAAATTGTGCGTGAAATTTTAAGATATTCACACATTTCAAAGTACTCATTCTTAACCTGAATCAACATTTGAACAGGAAGGCTTGCTTACCGCTCACAAATAAACAGGCCAACCAGTGACAGTATTCCTTATTGAACATACTTGTATTTTCTGCTAAAACTAGATGCAACCAGCTTTGAAAACAGAACTACTAATGGCCATTGCCACTCAGATTTGGCATTCACAATGTTAGTGAATGTTAGTTCATTCTTAGAGTCTTTAAATAACTTTTCAAGGCTGATGTGTTAGAAAGTACAGATTTAAAAAATAGAGGGGCTGAGGGTTATAGCTAATAGACTGTTATATAAGTGATAGAGTACTTGTCTAAGCATGTACATGGGTTCCATTCTCAGCACCACAAGAAAAGAAAGTTCTTTATCAGCAAGTCAGCTGTATTTTGTCATATTTTTGTGTTTGAAAATATTCATTTTGGCCTTATTTTACTGTTTGAAAATTTGAAATGCGTTAAATTTCTTTTTACTGTAAAGCTTTGTAGTTAAAAATAATAATAATGTTTTTTATTTTTAGTTGAGATGTAATGGTTATACATATTGATAGGGTACTGTGACATTTCAATACATTTATTTACAGTATGTAATGATCAGTCAGGGCAATCGGCATGTCTGTCACCTCACGTTATGGTTCCCGTGTGTTGGCAGCACTCAAAATCCTTTCTGCTAGTTATTTGAAATTCAATTGATTGTTGTCAACCACAGTTACCTACTGTACTAAAATAGAAAACAAGAAAAAAGAAAACTTAGTGGTATAGTTATTAAAATCAAAACAAGTTTATGAGCATTATTTGAACCAAACTGAAAGCAGTCCAGATGCCTATCAACTGGTATGAATGGGTAAAGAAAGTGTCATACATCATAAAATAAACATTTTAATCAGTAGTAATAAAAGTAACAAGTTACCAGTAGACAATAATATGGAAGAACCTGACTCATTGTGTGTATATGTGTGTGAGAGAGAAAGATAGCTACTGGGGGTTGAACCCAGGGCTTCGCATTTGTGAGGCAAGTGCTCTACCACTGAGATACATCTCTAGCGCTTCATTTTAGCAACAAGTAATATTCATGGATAAAGGTAGAAATGGGGAAATGTCCTACCTATCATTAAGAAATGCAGCTTCCACCACCAATTCAATTACCTTTATTTGTGAGATAAGGAAATAAAAAAAATACTTAAAAAAAAGACAATTCCCATAAATGTTTCCTTTTAATATTTAATGTTTTTAAATGGTGATTTTATGTTGGTTTAGTCAGTTGTGTTATGTTTGGGGTTTCATCACTCTAAAAGATTGCCTATGACTAAGGTGGTCAATCCCACCTCTACTCCCAGGAGAGGAAGGATAGGGAACTAGGTGCTGTTTCCCTTGAAGCACCATTACTGGACAGATTTTTAGATTGTGCTTCAGTTTCTTGGTAAACATGAAACATTGACTCTTGCAGTTTGAGTGAGTGTCCTCGTCCATAGGCTTCCATTTCTTAGAAAACAGTGACATTTGGGTTTAGGTTTTTTTTGGTAGCTAGTTTATTTTGTAAGGCTCTATGAAAATCTTAGCCACTGTAGGCTTTCTAAATTAATTCATCCCTAAAAAAAATTTCTCTTAATAGTGTATTTCCTAAATAGGTTCTTATTTTCTAAAGGTCAGTCTTTAAAATGGGATTGGTTATTTAAATAGTCTTTCCTATCCTACTGTTAAACATTTCCTTGTATTGAGGGACTTAGTAATTAGTTGGTGTAGATCTGGCATTACAGAACATAAGTAGCTAACAGATTCCTGAATTCTACAGCATATTTCTTTCAGTCTTTTTGAGGTTTGTGGAAATTCTTGACGATCAACTAAGTTCTAGACCAGAATTTAAATTCAGTTTCTATAGATAATGCCTTCTATTCTAGCAGTTTGGAGGGGCTTTTGTATAATTGTTTCTTTCTAAGAAACCCACAAGAAAGGTAGTTTATTTCACAGATAAGGGGGAGAAGGAGCAGGAGGAGGAGGGATAGAAAGAATATGTACATACTATAAAAAGAATGATTCAAGATTTCTGAAGGTTTGAACAGAGGAAAGTATCTTAGTCATTTTTAGTTTGAGGCCTCAGAATACCAGTTGAAGTTGATTACTAAACGAGCACAGTGATATACACCTGTAATCCCAGCTGTTTTGTGGGCTGAGGTGGGAGGATCACAAGTTTAAGTCCTGGGGCTTAGCAGACCCTGTCTCAAAAAGGGGCAGGGTTGGGGCTGGGGATATGGCTCAAGTGGTAGCGCGCTCGCCTGGCATGTGCGGGGCACTGGGTTCAATCCTCAGCACCACATAAAAATTAAAAAAAAAAAAGATGTGTCCACCGAAAACTACAAAATAAATATTAAAAAATCCCCCCCCTCTCTAAAAAGGGGGGCAGGGTTATAGCTCAGTGGTAGAGCACCCCGGGTATAATTCCCAGTATCCGCCTCCCCCACACACACACACCCAAGTTGATGATTGAATGGCACTTTGTTAAATAGTTATATTCTTAAACTATTATGATATTTGAAAAGTCAGCCCTAAATCCAGTTAAGTTAATGATTTTTATCATTGACCATGTAAATATAGAAGTTAAGGTTATTTAGGGAAGTATAAAAAAGAAAGGAGTTTTTCTAATAAGTGGTAATGATTTGGGGGTTTTGTTTTATACCAGGTACGCTTAAACCACTGAGCTACATTCCAAGTCCTTTTTATTTTGAGACATGCTCTTGGTAAGTTGCTGAGGCTCACTTTGAACTTGCAATCCTCCTGCCTCAGTCTCACAGGTTGCTGAGATTGTAGGCTTGTGCCACCATGCCTGGGCTGATTATAGCTTTGACAGTGTAACTCATGATAAATAAGAAAGCGGTTACTAAAGAAAGTTTCTTGGGATAGTTGAGAAAGGCACGTGGGAATTTTTTTTTAATATTTATTTTTTAGTTTTAGGTGGACACAATATCTTTATTTTATTTTTATGTGGTGTTGAGGATCGAACCCAGCGCCCTGTGCATGCCAGGTGAGCGCGGTACTGCTTTAGCCACATCCTCAGCCCCACACATTGGAATTTTCTGGGGTGATAGAAATGTTTTGTTTTTATTTTTGTTTTAATATTTATTTATTTATTTATTTTAAAGAGAGATAATTTTTTAATATTTATTTTTAGTTTTCGGTGGACACAACCCGGGCCGCATGCATGCCAGGCGAGCACGCTACAGCTTGAGCCACATCCCCAGCCCCAATATTTATTATTTTTTTTTTTGTTGTAGTTTAACACAATACCTTTATTTTATTTATTTATCTTAACGAGGGGTGTGTCTATAGGTTACACATATGTTTGCATAACTAATTCTTAAGATCTGTTTGTTTCACTGGATGTAAAGTGTTCCCACAAATTAAAATTAAAAATTTTGATTAGTGTATTCAAAAAAATTCTCAGGTTCTCAGACAATCAAATTCTAGGGAGAGGCCATATAATTAACAGCCTTGCAATTACTATGATAATGGGCTAAATAGAATAATTATAAATTGATAGGATAGTGATTGCTATCAATGTTTCAAGTTTAAGTTAAACAGTCACTTAACCTTTTCCCGAGTTGGTTACTGGTTATAAAACACTTGAGTGTTCCAGGCCAGCTTGCATTGGATTAGAAGTTTTTTGGGGCTTGTGTTGCCATTTGTTCCCTATGGAGCAGCACTTTCTTATTCAGTAAATGGAAATAAAACAACCCTGGACAAAATAAAACATAGAGATACATTTTTTTTCATAAATAGATGAATAAAAGTCAACTAAGATGAAGAATTAAAACTAATGACAAAAATAGTTACCGTATAGTACAATTCCACATCAAAACCTAAAGGCTTCATTACCTTATACAAAGACCTACATGGTTACATTCCTAATACAACAACTAATTGAGGAATACAAGCTCAAGGAACCAAATTGGAGTGCCCATTAATGTTGAGATAAGTTAAAGAACAAGTTGGACAGGAGGAGCTTTTTGGTAACCTGTTTCAAATGATGCCAAATCTTGTTCTTAAGTAAACTGAAATGATGATATAATATTCAGTATCTGAAATAATACAAACCTGATTACTTAATCAAAACATCATCCTGGGCAAAGCAGACTACTGGTCTTATAGGGTTTGGGGGAATTATGAAATTTAAAGATCCATAAACTTTCAAAGACTAGGAGTGAATGTCAGCTGAGGAAGCACTGTCACTCAAGTGAGACATGGTTGGCATTCAGATGTTTTCATTGAAGTGAGTCAATTTTTGTCTGGCTGACTTTCAGGAGTAAGGAATCATCACTGTTTGATTGGTTGTTTACAGAAGCATTCTGGGATAAATTTTTATTGGTTGATTAAATTTGTTTAAACTAGTTCTAAGCTTGTTGCCATGGAAGAACTGTCATCTCTTGATTAAGAAGGTTTAAAATCTGTTCTGGTGACTGCTTTTATACTGAGGCTACTGACCATTTAGTTTTTTCCAGGAATGTGAGAACTTTTTATTTTCACGTAATGTCCCCTCCGGAAATTTTGAGAATCATCTTTTTTTTAGTATAATATTTCATAATGATAAGCCTTTGTAAGGGTTGTTTCTGTTTGACTTCATTTTTATTTTCTTTTGGTTTCCACTTTTTATCATACTGAATACTCAGTAAACGTTTTACAGACTAGGAACTCATATTCTTCAGTTCTGCTTCTGATTCCACATGATTTTCAGGTTCCCTTTGTGTACCTTTCCCTTATTTTAGGAATATGTATTTGGGTTTTTTGCTCTCTCTGCCAGCTTATTTACATTTACCATTTATCTATTCCAGGGATTGACCAGGTAAATAGTTTAGGCTTTATGGACCAGATGGCCTCTTCTGCAACTACATAACTCTCCAGACAGTACACAAACGTGTAAAACCAGTGTAGGCTGAGCATGGTGGCTCACACCTGTAATCAATCCCATCGACTCAGGAAGCTGAGGCAGCAGTATTGTAAGTTCCAGGGCAGCCTTAGTAATTTAGTAAGACCCTGTCTCAAGCGAGAGGTGGGTTAGGGCTGGAGTTGTAGCTCAGTGATGGTGTATCTAGCACCTCAAAACAAACAAAAAGAAAACCCTTTATGTAGTACTGGAAGGTTCAGCTTGCCTGGCCTGAGTGGGGTCCTGGGTTTAATCCCCTCAGCACTATCCAAAAAAACGAAACAAACAAAAAAAACTTTGTGTAACAAAACAGATAATAAACTGCTTTGTATGTAGTCCCTGTCGTATCCCATTCATCTTTCTAGAGTGTTATATGTGTATGAACTAGTTGCACTAAAAATGAATTTACTTGTTTGAATGTCTTATTTATATAAAGCTTAAATTATTTTTTCTTCTTCAACAAGGTACTCAATTTTGACAAGTTTGCATCATGCGTGAATATAAGCTAGTCGTTCTTGGCTCAGGAGGGGTTGGAAAGTCTGCTCTGGTAAGTTATTCTCAAGGAACCTAACCTATTTACACTAAGCTGTCTTTTTCTATTGAGTTTTAGGTTTCATTATTTGTATTTGTTAAAGTGATAATAACTTATGCAATATTGTATTTTTCTTATAGTTTAGTGAATTTTTAGTTATATCTGGCTGGATTATATTTGAGGTATGACAGAACATAGTTTGGGCTAAGTACAGAGAGTGAGAGCATATAAATATGTGTCTGCATTTGAGGACCAGATAGGAATGGGGATTTGGGGATTTTTTCATTGTGAGTAAGCTTATACTATATATATTATGTTAGAAATGTCAAAGCTTATAAAAAGTCATTTTCTTTCTCCCTGGTGAGATAAACCATCTTACTTGGCCACTTCAGGTGGCCACCTAGCAAAGAATTTCATGTTTGAATCCAATTAAGTGTACATATGGTATGAACTACTTTTTCAATTGTATCTAAAGTAATGGAGAAGTATATTGATTGTATGTAAGTTTATGCATAAAACTCTAATACCCAATGCTATGTAAATAGCTTTCATACTGGATTGTTTAGGAAATCTGCTCACAATAGGTAGGTGAATTCCTATGTCCGATAACACAGCATATGACAATAAAACAATGTGCAGACATTTTTAATTTAGTAATTGTCTCCCTACCTTTGTATAGCAGCAAGTTTGGCCCCTGCTGCTTCACAAATATGGTGTTTCCTTTTCTACCTGTGTCCACAGTCTACAAAAACTCCTTCCTGCTCCCCAACTGTGAAATTACTTTGTCTTTGTACCGGATTCTAAGAAAGTCTGAGTGTGCTCAGCACAGATGCAATCTGGTTCTCCTCACCCCAACCCCATTCCCCAGATAGCTTTGATCCTCGTTTGGTTGAATCTGAGAATGTGGAACCCACAGATACAGAGGATCAAATGTAGAATATAATTTGCAAATTTGGATTTGTTCTTTAGATGTATAATGGTATGTTAATTTTTTTCAGACTGTACAATTTGTTCAAGGAATTTTTGTTGAAAAATATGATCCTACGATAGAAGATTCTTATAGAAAGGTAGGTTACTTTAGAAGTCCTTATTTTTAGTAGAAATATAATAATTACGTTTTTTTAATAATTATTTTTAGTTGTAGTTGGACACAATACCTGTATTTATTCTTTTTTTAATGTGGTGATGAGGATCGAACCCAGGGCCTCACACATGGCAGGCGAGTGCTCTGCCATTGAGCCACAACCCCGGCCTAATGTTTTTATAATTATTGAATGTTTGTATACACAGTAGAATGAAGAGACAGTTAATTTAAAAATTAATGGGAAAAACTGTATTTCCTGGCATTGCATGTTAACAGTTTAGAGAATCATAAACATGCATACATATTCACAAAGCTTTTAAGTTTAACCTGACCCCTGAATTGTTAATTTGACACAGACTTTAGAACCCATTTCAAGTTGCAGCCCCATGTTCCCTACCACTACTCCTAGAAAGATGAGTTATTCTTCTTTTAAACTAGAGATAGGAATACAGAAGTCTCCCTAGCCTTCCTACTTAATACCTCCTTGAAAAAGTACTCCTGCTCACAATATGTAGGTGAATTCCTATGTCCGATAACACAGCATATGACAATAAAACAATGTGTAGACATTTTTAATTTAGTAATTGTCTCCCTACCTTTATATAGCAGCCAGTTTGGCCCCTGCTGCTTCACAAATATGATGTTTCCTTTTCTACCTGTGTCCACAGTCTACAAAAACACTGGAAACTCCTTCCTGCTCCCCAACTGTGAAATTACTTTGTCTTTGACTTGATGCTAAATAACTTTTCCCCCCTAGGAAATATTAGGTGAAAAGAGGTACTGGAGATATGGAATTTATTTTTAGTTATGGCACTGCTTCCTTGCTATTAGAACACTTGTTCAAGAATGGTGAGGAAGTGTAGTTATCTAAAGAAAAGGGACCTCTAAAGAATAATGGGAGAATTGATAGACAAAATCACTGTTGATAGTATTGAAGTTATTGGTTGTTTTATTCTTTCATTTACTTGAACTATTTTGATATCATTTCTTATCCAGAATTAAGTGCTGAGTTGAATGATTTTGAGACCGAGGCTTGTTATTGCTCAATAATTACCTAGTAAAACTGCCATAATTTCCCTGTTTCTAATTTTAGCTTTTGTGTTTTATTTATTTAAGGTAGTCTTTTATATATATATAAAAAAATAAAGATGTATTTTAATTTTTTCTAGCAAGTTGAAGTAGATGCACAACAATGTATGCTTGAAATCTTGGATACTGCAGGAACGGTATGTATGTAAACAAATTACCAAAGTTTATGCAGTTTGTACAATATTGATTTGTAAATGCTATTACTCTATATGCAAATATTAGTTTACTTAAGTATTACTTGAATCAATATTTAAAGCTATTATTTTCATAGTCTGGATTCTACTTTTTAAAATATTTTTAATTGCAGTGCATCAGTTGTTGAAGAATTTAGAAAAATTATTAGAATGACAATTTTCATAGTCTATATAATACTTTTTTCTTTTTGCATGTGTGTGGTGCTGGGGATTGAACCCAGGGCCTTGTACATGTGAGGCAAGCACTCTGCCAACTGAGTTATATCCTCAGCCCTCATTAATACTTTTAAGACAATATATTACCATATTTCAAATAATGTGTAAAATACTTGGGCATGCATTGTTCCTCAGTGGCGCTGTACTGATTTCATTGATATCTTTCCTCCATCAAATTATTTATAGGCCAGTATATTAGTTCTTCCATTACAATTGTGAAATACTCGGGGCAGGCTTACTTTATTAAAAAAAAATGAGATTTATTTTGGCTCACAATTCTGGAGGCACAAGTTCTAGGGATCACATTATTATGATGCCTTCTTTTGGACAGTCTGGAGGTAGTCCAGAGCATCACATAGCAAGAGACAAGGGACATGCAAGTATCCAAAGATAAAGGGAAGATTTATTCTGGGTGTATGGTATGCATTCAGCTAATGTTTGAGTACCTGAGATATGCCAGACACTGTTCTTACCCTCAAATGCTCATAGTTTAGTGAAGGAGAAGTGTGAGGACGTGGCAAAATGTAGGTAAGCATTCTGATAGACCCACCTAACAAGAGTGTTGTGAGCTGGCTATAATTTTGGGATACAATTAGGAAGCGCTACACTTCATGATATATTTAAAAAGCAACCTTTAAGTAGCTTTTGGAGTTGGATATTTCTGTGCCATTTGAATATTTATTGCACATAATAAATATTTTTAAATAGGCTTCCAACTTTTCAAATAATAACTTGCTATGGATTAATTTTAAGAAGTGTTACAACTACAAAATCTTCATTGAGTTATAATCATAGATTTTAACTGTCAAAACATTCTGTTTTTTAATGTTCGTTTCTTTGTACTATAGGAACAATTTACAGCAATGAGGGATTTGTACATGAAAAATGGACAAGGCTTTGCTTTAGTTTATTCCATCACAGCACAGTCCACCTTTAATGATTTACAAGATCTGAGAGAACAGATTCTTCGAGTTAAAGACACTGATGATGTAAGCTGACTTCCTAGTAATAACTTATTTCATATCCCTTACTATAGTGTATTCAATTTTAAAGTTTAAATTTAAATCAAATTTGAAGTTTGTGTATTAGGTTAAGGGTTCAGAACCTTTCTCTTTAAAAAAGGCACAAATGTATCTTTACATGTTTTCAAATATCATTATATTCCCTATTTTGTCATTATCTTGTGAAAATTAAATGTTATACTTTTTTTTTTTTTTTTTGGAACTGGGGATTGAACTCAGGGGCACTTAACCACTGAGTCATGTCCCCAGCCCTTTTTTGTGTTTTATTTAGAGACGGGGCCTCACTGAATTGCTTAGGGCCTGGTTAATTTGCTGAAACTGGTTTTGAACTTACAGTCTTCCTGCCTCAGCCTCCTGAGCTGCTGGGATTACAGGCCTACACCACCACACCCAGCTAAACCCTTCTGTTTTTAAACAATGCATTTTGTGGGAAGGAATATGGGATGTAAATGTTACTAATAGAGCAAATAATCTTCTGGTCACATTTCTGGTAGATTTAAGAGCCTTTGAAATAAGGATTTGATGTAAATAAATATAAACATACCAAGCAGCAGTGACAGAGAAGGAGCATAATAATAATTTTAAAAGGAAGGCAGCCCTTCAGAACGTACTGTAATGCAGTTAATAAGAAACTTAGTGAAGAATTAAAATAATTTCCTTTATCTGTAATAGTGATTCCTAAAATACATCATGCATCAGAATTATCTGTAGGACTGGTTAAAACATAAATTGCTGGCCCAACCACCTCAGAATTTGACTCAGAAGACGTATAATAGAACCCTGAATTGTGCATTTCCAACAAATGTCCAGGTGATGTTGATGCTACACGATAAGAAATGTTGTACTGTACTTTAATTAGAGCTAATATTATAAGAGTTGAGACACACTGATGGTAAATGCTGCCATTTTCTGAACATCTAAACCAAGGAAGTTTGGGGAAAGTCTACATTTTTATTTTCCTATCACTTGCATTAAACAAATATTTATTAAATACCTCATTAAAAAGCCAGAATTCTTGAGGTTTTGTTTGGATTTATTTTCCACAAAATACTTTAGAAAACTGATTTGAAAATGATTGGTAGTGGTTTGGTAGAATAAGCATTATTTTTGCCTATAGTGTTCTTTTAAAATTACAAATATCACATAATGCAAACACACTGTTCCATTAATAATGGCCTTGATTTTTGGTAAATTAAGTTGATTAAACCTTCTGACTATTTAATATCAGATTACATGAGAAACTAAAAATTCTACTTTGGGGGCCAAATTTCTCCTTTATTTACTTTCACAGTAACTCCTTTGTATTTCCTTTTATAAAGGTTGTATTTTTTTGATTACCATAATTATTTGTAAATCCATTGTGTTATACATTTTAACCCTCTTTTGTAAGTATGACATTCATTGTTTTCTAAAATTTTTTTGTGAAAGGTTCTTACTTGTATCTACATTGCCTAGGTTATGTCCATTTAGTTCCCTTTGGAATTATCCTTTAACATCTCCATGAGAAGAGAAGGCGGTGGAAATAATTGACAGCGCAGTTGACCTGAAAGCCAATACTAGTTCATTCAGTCTTACAAATTGATGTTGTTAAGGCTTTCATATTTTAAGTGTAAATTTTATTACATATTGTATCTGACACCATAGGAAAAGTAATCTTTAAGGTTAACTCTTAGAATTCTTTTTATTTGAATTTGTTAATATACATACTTATTTATTTTTATTCTCACAAATGTCTTTTTAGGTTCCCATGATTCTGGTTGGTAATAAGTGTGACTTGGAAGATGAAAGAGTTGTAGGAAAGGAACAAGGTCAAAATCTAGCAAGACAGTGGAACAACTGTGCATTCTTAGAATCTTCTGCAAAATCAAAAATAAATGTTAATGAGGTATGGTCAGATACTAAAAGTAGTTTTTTATTTTGATTATTTAAAATTAATGGAAAAGTGTGTGTGTGTGTGTTTAATACAACTCAAACTTAATATGTATTCAGGATGATATGTTGATCTTATAAGCAGAAAAATTCTTGTTAAATATATGTATATAAATAAGTACTATTTCAGTTATTAAATGCTTGTGCACTTAAATTTTATCCCAAGAAAGGAAGGTTAGATAGAATATAGGACTGGGAAAGACAGGTTAACTCATCATGAAGGATGTTATGTAAAAGAGAAAACTTCAAAAAGGCATTCTTGGATTATATGAACTTAATTTAAGGAGAACAATTTTAACCCCCTCCAAGTGAACTTGGCACTTATAAGAATGCTCGGTTTTACTTTCTTGTTTCCTGGTGGTACATTTATATCCTTGGAAATGTCCATTTTTTTCATTTCACTTTTTCAGTTTTGGGGTTTTTGTAATATGTTTGCAGATCTTTTATGACCTAGTGCGGCAAATTAACAGAAAAACTCCAGTGCCTGGGAAGGCCCGCAAAAAGTCATCGTGTCAGCTGCTTTAATATATTGAATGCATTGTAGCTCTGAGCCAGGTATGTTGATTTATCTTTCCTCTAATTGTTAATCCCTCAGCTTCATTAAGGACACTGTCAGGAAAGCAAGTGGAGTTTTGGTTTTTGTTAGCTCTAAAAAGTAGATGGTTACATTCATGAATTAGTTTGATATCTTGTTAATGAAAATAATTATTTCATTTACTTATCAGAAATAAGGTATTCTATGTATGTAAATGACCAGATATTCTAAATAAGTTTATTCAGGGAATGGGTTGTACCTTAGTGATAGAGCACTCCCTGGCACCTATGAGGCCCTGGGATTAGAACCCAGCCCTACCAAAAAAAAAATTCCATTTATATTAGTGATAGGACACTGGTTGGTGCAGGCAATATAATGGTAAAGGAGACCTGCCTTATCTCCTTGCCTCTTAATTAAGTGTGATGGAAGAGAGAGACAAACAGTTGCAAAATGTCATAAATGCAATGAGAGTAAATCCAATGTAGTACTAAAAAACCCTGACACATTTACCATGTGCCCAGCACTCTTTTTAAGGATCCCTATCTGTATATTAATTGAATTCTCACAACAATCCTCTGGAATGATGATGATGATGATGATGATTAATTGTTATTATTCCCACATTACGGAGGTGGGAACTGTCACTTGTGAAAACCCCTGTTAGTGAATAGCAGTGCCAGAATTTGGATAGGCAGTCTGACTTCTGAGTGCTGTGATGGGTACTGTGGGAGCATATAATTGGGGCACCAAATGTGTAAGAATTCAGGAAAGTCAGTCAAAAGTAGGAGACATTAAGCTGAGATCTGAAGGACAAGTGGAAGTTAGCTGTATTGGGCTGGAGGGTTCCCAGACAGAAAAGCACTAACATAACCCAGAGATGTGAGCAAAAAAAAAAAAATCTGAGCACACAATGTTTTTATGTATATTTTTGAAAACAGTCATATTAAATAGGATTGATACTTGTAAACAGATCAGTTCCTGGTACATAGTGAACATTCAAACCATTAGCTGCTACTTTTTACCAATGAAACTGGTTTCCTGTTCAGTTATTACTATGGCATTATTTCACTGTACTCTTATCCCTGAGAACTTTTAACTTTTGTGACTGTTTCCCCCAGTGTTAAATGGGCCCATAGTGTCGTTATCTTTTTACAGTATATGTCCCTATTGTGCAGTTAGGGTCCTCTGTTTAGTAATAGATCCTCTTATAATGATAATCTCTCATACCTGACTGAATGTTCATTCTTACTTGCATCCCGTATGTGCCTGAGCTTATATACTCCCATCTGTCCTTTCCAATTTGCTACTTTCAGTCTGCTAGGTTTTAGAAAATTACATTACAAACCTCATTCAAACTAGAATAAAGACCTAAGGTTCTAGATATTTGTGAAAATAGTTTCAGCAGCCACATGTGTATTTACATGTGCTTGGAAACAAGTCTGATCCCCAGAAAAATGGAGTTTAAAAAAAAAATTATTTTAAAAGCTTAGGCATATATGTAGAAGGTCACCGGAAGTAAATAAATATTCCACAGTTCAGGTTTTACTTCTTTTACATTACAAATATTATTTTAAAACTTTAGTTTTCTCTAAGGAAAAATTAATGTGATTTTCAGTACAGTACCACTTTTTTGATATCTAAAATTTGCCAAAATCTATGAATACAAAATTTGGAAGTAATGTAACTCAACTATAAAGTGGTAAAAAACATCATGAGATAAATTCTAAAAAGATACGAATCAAAGTACTGAAATAGCATGGGGCCACTTAACATAAGAAATAGCCACAGGTATTAAATATTGCCTCTCTGAACCTAGATTTTAGCTACTTTTTAAGAGTAAGGAAGCAAAGTCTTAACTTCTCTCATACTAGAAACCCTGGTTTTCAAGAGAGTAGCAAAATAGACTTCATCTTTTTGGAATGCCGAGGTGAAAATGTCTTTATTCTGAGTTATGGTACGTTGTCATTCATGTAATGACTGAAACAAGAGTCTGTAGTGTATTTCTAATATTACAAAAATGTTGGGGGGTTGGGGTGTCGTTTGGTGGTAGAGCACTTGCCCAGCACATATGAGGCACTGGGTTCAATCCTCAGCACCACATAAATAAATAAATAAGGGCTGGGGTTGTGGCTCAGTGGTAGAGTGCTTGCCTCGCATGCGTGAGGCCCTGAGTTTGATCCTCAGCACCACATTTTAAAAAAAAAATTAAATAAAAAATAAAGATTTTAAAAATAAATAAATACATAAATTAAAGTTACTAAACAGAAAGTTTAAAAAAAAAGTTGGGGCTGGGGTTGTGGTTCAGTGGTATGCCAAGCACATGTGTGAGGTAATCCTCGCACCATATAAAAATAAATAAAGGTATTGTGTCTATCTACAACTTAAAAAAAAAAAATTCTTTTTTTTAATGTTGTTTTACTGTTTCCTTTGGATCTTTAATACACTGGGTTCAATTAAATTTTTTTGTTTTCCTTTCTTTTAAAAGGTCTGAAGAACTGTTGCCCAATTCAACAGTGCCAGCATTCCAACTTTGTTAAACCTACCAACATCTTATATGGACTTTCCTGTGGTGGTACCCTTTAAGAGGCGGATGAAAGCTACTATATCAGTTTGCACATTCTAATCACTTTTCAGTATCACAAGAGAGATTTTTACTTATATAATAGTCCTAGAGTATGCAGCTGGTAAAACCAGAGGCTACATCCAGTATTACTGCTAAGAGACATTCTTCATCCACCAATGTTGTACATGTATGAAAATGGTGTATTGTATACTTTAACACACCCCATACTTTGTATTGGAGAGTACAATAATGTAAATCCTGAAAGCACCACTATTTTAGCATAATAAAAGAAAGTCCAAAGAGCTCCTATATAGACTACTCCAGATAAACTTTGCTTCTTTGATACTTGTAGCTTATTGTAATTTTTTTTAAATCCAAGGTCATTATCATTGTATTGTATAAAATAAGCGCTTTGATTAACACAGCTATATAGTTTTTTTTTTAATTTTTCAAAAACCTGTGGAGACAGTGATCTTGTCTTTAAAATATAGTCCTTTCAGTATGATGTCTTAGATTAAAGACGTTGCCTTTAATATCTGTTGGGAAGGAAATGTCCAGACTTTTCAAATCTCCTTATTATGTGTTTCCCTTTTTTGTTTACATAGGGAACAATGTTTGTAGTTGTGTGTACAGTGGGGGTCTACAACAAGAAGTGTATATTTTCAACAATTTTTTAATGATTTAACAATTTTTGTAAATCATTTTCAGGCTTCTGCAGCTGTAGATTCTCACTGTGAATCCCTTGCTTGCTCATGCATAAGTGTATTTGCAATACCAAATATACAGGTTTAGTATTTTTGCCTGTTAGTGATTGTTTCACATGTGTAACGTTTTGGTTGAGATGTTAAATGGTGGACGAGTACTGTGGATGTGAATGTGGGAAGTAATTTTAATCATGTATAATTGGTCACAAGGCCTAATTTGCAGTAACTATTGCTGTTTTATTTAACAATGCCTTGTTGCTTTGTATGCATTTAATGTTTGGGTGTAAAGATTGTGTGTCTATCCAACAGGGAGCCACAGTATTTAAATTGACCAACCTAATGTTACAACTACTTTGAGGTGGCCAAATGTAAACTAAAAGCCTTAATTAAAGTGGTGCAATTTTGTATAACTTAGCATCAGTAGTTCAATAAATTTGGATTGCCATGCAAGGGCTTGCATTATAATTACTTGCCACTTGAATGTGTTTTGTGTAATGTTTTAACAGTGCTAGTAAATAAATATGGGTTTACCTTCTTTTTAAATGTAATAGGTGTTATTTTACACATTGTGATTTCATAATTTAACATGAGTAAACTAGACTAATTAATTCCAGAAAAAATGTGTGAAAGGACTGGGGTTGTGTTCAGTGGCAGAGCACTTGCCTAGCACATGTGAGGCACTGGGTTCAATCCCCAGCACCACGTTAAAAAAAAAAAAAAAAAACTAAATAAACAAAGGTATTATGTCCATCTACAACTAAAAACATTTTTAAAAAATTAGTGAATGATGGCAGGGTTTTTTTCTAGTATTTGAAGATTCACATAACCACCTTTTGAGCTTTTCTTTGAGAAAGAATTTTGTAAATCAAGCAATATTAGTTATGAATAAATGCTTTTGGGTGAAGAAGAATTGAAAATACTTTGCATGCTAAACTGTGGATCCCCCCTCCCCCCCCCCCCCCCCCCCCCCCCCCACTGCCGTTGGTACTGGGGATTGAACTCAGGGGCACCTAACCATTGAGCCACATCCCCAGCCCTATTTTGTATTTTATTTAGAGGCAGGGTTTCACTGAGTTGCTTAGTGCCTTGCTTTTGCTGAGGCTGGCTTTAAACTTGTGATCCTCCTGCCTCAGCCTCCTGAGCTGCTAGGATTACAGGTGTGTGCCATGGTGCCCAGCCGGATTTTTTAAATATAGAATGAAGTTATAATATACATAAAAATAAATAAACAATATAAAGTTATTGTGTCCATCTACAGCCCCCTCCCAAAGAAAGAATGGTTATAAAAATCTTTGAATGATATGGACTTGAGTACAACTTTGTTTTTAGAGATCTTTGTGCTATAAGTCAATTCTGTGGAATTTGTAAAAGGGCTTTTCAGTTTTGTCATAGTATTTACCAGCCACTGGAGTAATTAATTAGTAGTACCTTCTTGTACACTAATCCCCTAAATACATGTTATTTGACTGGGACAGTAAAGGCTTTCATTTCAAAGAGACAAAGTCTTAACTTACATATTTAACTCACAGAGTTTCATGTATGGAAAGGCCTAAAGAAAAAAACAACATGTTTTTGCAGAAGCTCCTACTTATGAGAGACTGTTTTTATAACCTCGTGGGGGGGGGTGGATTAAGCCCCCAAAAGTAGTAGGGCTGGAACACTAAAAATCCAGTGAGGGTACCATCATTATTTCTGCTATCATTAGCAAATGTTTATTGCCTATCAATTATAGGCATGCACCACCATGCCTGGCAACTACCACTTGATTTTATTGTGAACCTAGCTTCATTATGAACCTAGTTTTATCTGATTTTCTTTAATAATGACGTAGATGTGAATTATCCAAATTCAGCCTTTGGTTCAAAATGAAGAGCTTTTTCTAAAAACTATCACAGATCTTATAGGATTTTTATGTAAATGATAACTTCACTTGATTATAGACATGTTTTTGTCAGCTGCCATAATAATAATTCATATTTCTATTTATAGTGTTATAGTTTGGAATCCCTGTGAGCATTAGTTTCAGAAAAGGAAACTAATACTACTAAACTTTTTAATGTGCAGTGTACAAGGCTAGGGGCAGAGAGAAGTAGGAAGGAGTAAGTGATATTACTTATAAACTTAGTCTCTGCTGGTATATTGTTCAGTGAGCCATTGGTAGGACAAACCAGTAATAAATTATCAAATCTTAGTAACTTCTAACCATACAATTCATGCTCTATTACTCATACTAAAGTGACTGGTATTAAAAAGTTGTACTTTTTATTTTAAAATACAAGAACTATTTTATTTATATTCCCAACTATTAGATACAGTTGTCTATTAAGAGGTCAATGTTAATTCAGTATATTCCCTGAGGAAATCAACCAATAAAGGAGAACTACAGGACTGCAGAAAATGCAGTGCAATCAGAAGGGTATGGTACAAAGTAGATAGTTAACAGGGGCCCTCTTCTGTACCAAATGGGAGTAATATAACTAAAGCAACAGATTTGACTGCTCTATGAATAACAGCCCAGGGAGGGTTGATGGTGGAGCAAGAGTTTACCCAGTTTGGAAGCTATTTGGTCCGTAAGCTGTGGTGAGAGTGGAAACCCAAGAAACTGCAGAGGAATAACTAGGGAACTGGTTGATGGCTTAGATGCAGGGCTGGGGGGGGGGAGGGGGGCGGAATGAGATGTCTAATAATAGTAGCAGAACCAAGAGTTTACCATCAATGAAGATAATTAAAATAAAGAGGCTCTCAAGGAATTGTAGTTTTGAGTGCATCAAGAAAAGTTTGGGGTAGGATGAAGTTTAGATTAAGTAAAATATATTTTGATTTGTATTGCAGTTGTCCCCTGAAGTTATTGATATAGCAGGAAGCAACTGAAACTGAATAAAATTATTTTCATAAGAATTAAGCATAAAAAAAAGAAAACCTGGCATAAGCAAGCCTTGAATGGGAAGAAAGGTTATATTTTAAAGGTATCCAATTACAAAGACAAGGGCAGAGAAGAAAGCAAATAGCTCTGTAGTAACTGAGAATTCTGCATCTTTAGCAAGCAGCAAGATACTATTGTTCCTTTCTACTCGGTTATGTACTATAGACCAGCAGCCATTTCATTCTCTAGACATGTCATAATTTATACCTCTCAATGTACCTTATTAGTGGCAGATTGGCTTCTAAAGAGATAATAGGAGAATTTTAGAAATGCCATTCCAGGGCGCTGGAGATACAGCTCAGTTGGTAGAGTGCTTGCCTCACATACACAAGGCCCTGGGTTCAATACTGAGCACCACCACCACCAAAAAAAACAAAAGAAAGAAAATGCCATTCTCTAGTACCAAGTTTTTGTATATTCATGCCGCAACTAAATCAGTTTCAGAGCTAGTGCTGGCAATCCATTCAAATTCAGTTGCACCAAAGCCTTAAGTAATCTCAAATATATGTCATTGCAGTATGTCTCCACCTACTTTCTTGATAATATAGACATTTTTTCTCTCATTTTTCATAACTGATATTTCGGTACTTTACACAAAATGTTAGGAAGATAAATCCTTATTAACTGGATTCTCACATTGCTCTATTTCATATTATCTTCTGGGGGAAAAAGTATTTGTGTCCTAAACAGTATTTGTTAGTTTCTTATAGCTAATCTAACAAATTTGATGGTTTAAAGCATCAGAAATGTACCCAGTTCTGGAGGCCAAAATTTCAAAATCAAAGTTGTCATGGTTGCCTTCCCCCTAGAATTCTAGGAAAGAACCATTCCTTGGCATTACACCAACTCGCTCCTGTCTCTGCTCCATCCTCATATCTCTTTAATGTGTCTAATACCCCTCTTCCTTTCTCTTACAAGGCAGTTTAGAGCCTTTCTTGATTATTCAGGATAATCTCACCTCAAGACCCTTAGCATACTTCCAAAGACCCTCTTTCAAATGATGGAAACATTTTACAAGAGGGGACTGGGATGTGGACATAATCTTTGGGAGACATTATCAGCCAACTCACATGGTGTTTACTAATTTAACAAAATTTAGCTTAAATCTACTTCAGGGTAACCTAAAATATTCTGAGTTGAATCAGCAGAACTTGGAGTCTCCTAGAGAGCCCCTGAGGATGTGGCAAAGCCATAGGGGTAAACTACGCTACAGAGATTTTTCTAAGGGAAATTTAGGATCAAGTGAGATTTCAAGGAGTTATAAGAGGTCCAGTCTGAGCTAGTTCCACAATTTCAGAACCAGTATAGTAGCTATGGAACTGTTAACCATTGTCATCCCCTTGGAATTACTTTATACTTGTATTAGTATACATTCTCTCCATGTTTCATATTTTCAATGATAGCCAAACTCCCCCCTTCCACTGATTTTGATTTAAGGAGTAATATAAATTGTAAGCTTCATTTTTTGCTTTTTATTTTCAGACATGTCTAGAGGGTTTTACCCTCCACTTTACCTTCCCTCCATCTTTAATCAGACATATCTGATCCATATTAGAAGAAAACGTGTGCTTCTGAGACCAAATAATGGTGTTTGTAAGATTTTGCTCTGCACTGAATTGATTGGTTTATTTACTGTTTCAGTATTCTTTTGAGAGAAGTGGACAGAATTAAATGATAAAAACTAATCTGGTTGGGATGGAACACATTGAATATTTGAACAAGTTAGGAGTTTGAGGGTATTTATACACAACCAACGTTAGGGCTGTAACCACTTGTCAAAAGTAAATGTTGACCTTCCTCAGATAGTCCATTTGTTCATTAATTGTTTTAAGTAATGGTATAGAAAGGTTGTAACCTTCTATGTGGTTTACATGTTTAAGATGCCGTCTTAGAGATCCTAAAAGCTGATCCAGTCATTCTCTATTGAAGCTATTATTTTAAAAGTTCTCACTTCTTTTGTTCTTTCCTTTTAATTTTGACTTCAGTAAAGCATGACTTAGATCATAAGATTTCAACTGGATACTTTATTAGAGTATTGTATTAAGTCACTAATGCTTCCTGAAATTCTTGAGCTGAATCATTTGGCAGTTACTATTTAGCAAACATAATTTTTTGGAAACAGAGAATATTATTAGCCACTACCACATCACTAATTATATTCTGCCAATACTTTCAGAGAGAATGTCACCAAGGGAGGAAGTGGCATCCATTACCCTTTCCCCCATTCACTCTGAACCAGTGTAGGATGCTGTCATGGTCAAAGCATTTTCACCTTGACAGAATGTGGCTAATGACAAAGCAGAATTAACAACTTGGTTGCTCTAGACCCTTGTTCAAGGGAGAGTAAACAGGACATATATCAGGATGACATCCAAACAGGGTGGGTATAGAATGCCAAGTATGTCAGCCCTGGAAAATTATAACATTCTGCAGTGCCAACTCCCCTACCACTGTTAAAAGTGAGGCAGGTGCAAACTGTCCGTTTCCCCAAGGCTCTTTGGGTTAGTGTTTTTTTCTTAGTACAAAACTCAGAGGAACAATGGAATTAGACACAATTGGCTCAACTGCTTTATTTCACTTTTTAAAAGAAAGGCAAATTCCAGGAACCAAAAGACTTTTG